TTATTATAAATGAAAACCTGGTAGGAGTTGAAAAAACTAAAGCGAAGCTGAAACTGGATAAACCGATTTTCCTGGGAATGAGCATTTTAGATTTAAGCAAATTACATATGTATCAGTTTTACTATGATGTATTGAAAAAGAAGTATAATGAAAACATAAAACTGGTTTATACCGATACTGACAGTTATGTAATTCAAACAATGACTGATGATGTCTATAAGGATTTCAATGATATAAAGCAACACATGGATTTTAGCGACTATCCTGTTGAGCATCCATGTCATGACAAAACTAATAAAAAGGTCTTAGGAATGTTTAAGGACGAATGCTCTTCAAAGATAATTACCAAATTCATAGCTCTCAAACCTAAATCTTATGCCTTCACAATTCACGGCGAGGATGATGAACATAAGAAATCAAAAGGTGTAGTGAAACACAAAGTTAAAAAAGAACTGTCGTATCAGAACTATCACGAAGCATTATTTCAAAACAAAAAGCATGAAATAACATATAATTTTATTCGTAGTCGCAACCATCAATTATTTTCAATGTCTCAAGTAAAGCAAAGTCTGAGTAATTATGAAAATAAAAGGTTTTATATTGATGCTTTCACTTCATTGCCTTATGGACATTACGCTATTACAAAGTAATAGCCTAATGAGCTTCGCGACATTACGCTATTACAAAGTAATAGCCTAATGAGCTTCGCGACATTACTCCATAAAATAATTATCTAAATAGTTCTAATAATATGAAATTATTAGAATTATTTTCAGGGACAGGTTCGGTTGGTGGGGTTGCTCGGGATTTGGGTTTTAGTGTCATTTCCCTTGATTTGAAAAATGCAAATATCAATGCTGATATTTTGAGTTGGGACTATAAACAGTTCGGGGTCAATGATTTTGATGTGATTTGGGCATCTCCTCCATGCACCGAATACAGCCGAGCGAAGACGACGGGCGTCCGAAAGATTGAGTATGCTAACAGCATCGTGTTGAAAACCCTTGAAATCATTGACTACTTCAAACCGAAGTGGTGGGTTGTGGAAAATCCTCAAACTGGACTTTTGAAGGAACAACCATTCATGAGTGGGTTGAAATACTACGATGTGGATTATTGTAAATACGGGTTTAATTATAGGAAGAGAACAAGGTTGTGGTCAAACATTGAAACTTGGAAACCTAGACCATTATGCAAAGGGGATTGTGGGAAGGTTAGGAATGGGCGACACCTTGAAACTGCTCAACGGTTGCCATCAGGTAAAAGGGATTGTTGGGGTGAAGGGTTTGTGAAACATAAACAAGAAGAACTATATAAAATCCCTACTGAATTGATTAGCGAATTGTTTGTTAGTTTGTTTGATGAAAGGGGGGGATTACAGCATACGAGCCCTACACCATCCCAGAACCTAGTAGACATCAGCAATATAGACGAAGAGCACGATGACTTCTCTGCCTCAGAGCGTGTAGGAGTGGGTGGGTTTCCGAACCTTTGGAAACTGGGAAAGGGCTTTCTTTGACAACACTTTCCGACCCTTTGGAAACCCTAATTTAGGTGGTGATTTGGTGAGTTTTGGGGTGGGCTTTCCAACCCTTTGGAAAGTGGGACGGGGCTTTCTGAACCCTCGGAAAGTGCAAGTGGCTCAACATCTCAATGAATGGCTCAACTGCTCAAATGCTCAACTTTTTTTCAAGTGCTCATCGGCTCTGTGCAAAGGTTTCTGTGGATGGTCTTTCATCCAAGCATATTGACATCAGCAATGGATTGCACTGTTACATTTGGCAACGTTTGTTGTCTCTGGACAAATGCTTTTGCCTGTGATTGGACTTCTGCGACCCGCTTCTCACACTCGTCACGGACTTGCTTCCTCTCCATGTCAATCTTTAGGTCAATCAAGCCCTCCACAGTCTGCTTGAAAGACTTGTGGTTGAGGTTCGCCACATTGCTGTGGAGGGTGTGGTGCTCGTCAGCATACTTGGAGAGAAACATACAGGTGATGTCAGTGAAGACATCCTGACAAGTGGTCATTGCCTTCTTCATGTCTCTCATTCCTGGCACGAGGCTCTTCACGATGTTCTCCAGCATGTTCGCGGCTTGACTGCCCGACTTGTTCACGGGGATGTTCTCCAAAACCTGTCTCAACTGTTCAACTGTCATCTTGTTGAGACACTCTTGCAATGGGAACTCCTCCTCAGTGATGAAGGACTTGACGCTTGTCAGGGCGTTGATTACCCTGTCAACCTCCGTCACGTCCACCTCACGAGTGTCAGCACGAAGTCGTTTCTGAAGCCTCTCAAGTTTGACCTCATCCGTCTCTTCGCGAGTGGTTCGGCGGGGCATCCCTCCCTGACCACGGATGAAGAGCTCAAAGAAGTCAGACTTTGTAAGGTTGAGGTTCTCAAGAAGAACATTGTCCTCCAAGTCACGGTCATTGAAGACCAGTCGTTGATGGCGAATAGGCACTGTCATGTCCTGTGAAAGCATCGCCTTCACAATCATCACGGTGTAGTCCTTGTTCACCATGATGTTCATGAAGGTTCTGGTGTGAACCACAAAGATTGTCAGCCAGAAGTCCCCCTCATCGTAGCCGGCTGGGTTAGGTGGTACAGGTGGCTCATCATCAGGGTCATCACCACCATCTGAACCATCTCCGTCACCTCCAGAACCTTCAGGGTCATCACCACCATCTGAACCATCTCCGTCACCTCCTGAACCTTCAGGGACATCACCACCATCTGAACCATCTCCGTCACCTCCTGAACCTTCAGGGTCATCACGTGGTTGTGGTCTATCTGAAGGAGTAGTCAAGACACTGCTGGAAGACTTCCCCAAGTCAATCACAGTCTCATCACCGAGAGTCCTCAAGCGAGCAACCAAGACATCGTTCAGCGACTTCAGTTCTGCAATCTGTCGCTGATACCTTTGGGCATAGTGCTCACGTGTGAACTTCGTCTGCTCAGACACCACGAGTTTTGACATCATGCTGATGTGGCGAATTTGAGGTCTCAAAAATGGCTATGAACATCAATGAGGTCTGCAGTGACATCAGAGGCAAATGCAAAGTCTCAATCGTTCCATGTCTGAAACGTCTCAGTTCAAACAAAAGCCACGCTTTTTCAGGGTAGCAAGAAGCCTATGTCAAGTCTCTGCATCCGAGATAAACCTCCTAACATCCTACTCACGACGATGCTTTCAGACCGAAGCGGAGATACATTCATCTCATGCCTGACTGGTCTCATCAAAGACAAGCCTCACTGAGTGCCACTTCCCGAGGATGCCGAAGACTTCGCCTTGGCTTTGGCAGGAGCGGCTTTGCTCTTAGGAGCTGTCTTCGCCTTCGCTTTCGCTTTCGCCTGTGCCTTCTCTTCAGCAGTCTGACGACGGACCACGATGACTGTCCCCTCCGTGATGTTCCAACTCTTGCCCTTGTCTGCAGTGGACATCGTGCGACGAGCACGACCATTCATGACGATGCCGTTCAACTCGTAAATGAGCCCAGCCGTCATCTTCTCTGTGAGGAAGGTGTCAGGGTGGTGCATCATCAAGATGAGACGGATGTCTTTCAGGGTGTTGACACCTCGAACCTGAATGTGGTAGTTCTGGCTCTCAAAGCGCACCACAATGTTGAACACCTTGCCCTGTGCCTCCTTTACCTTGATGGTAGTCTCCTCTTTCGCGGTAATCTTCTTCAGTCGGTCACGCTCTTCCTTGGTCTCAGCCCTCTTCACCTTCAAGGCTTCCTTCGCCTTCTCCTTGAAGTGCTTCATCTTGTTCTGGTGCTCTTCCACCATCTCCACCAACGTCATCAACTCCAACTCGCTGGTCATCTGCTCCACGAGTTCGGCGAAGGGGGTCTCGTCGTCTGCCACCAGTGAAGCACAGAAAGCCTGAACGTCGACGGGGTTCTCCAGCACCACCTCATCGACTTCTGCGTTCTCCTCTTCCTCCTCTTCGTCCTCTGTGTCCTCGTTCACGGAAGGCACTGTCGCCTCTTCGTCTTGGAGTTGTTGAGCAATCGCCTCATCATTGATTGTCTGATGAAGGTCTTCATCAGCGTAGCCACCCGTCGTCATCTTCTTGGGCGACATTGTTCAAAGAAAAAGAGAGCACGAATTCAAAAAAAAAGTGTTTCTCTCTGACTGCCTTGATAGAAAAGGTCAGCAAAAAAAAAAAAGAAGAAGGAACAGTCTCAAGTGTCTCAACTGTCTCAGGTATGCTATGTCTTCCTCAACACAAGAACACAAGTGGTTCATCAACTCTTTCACAGCAAGTATTCGCTACACTCTCTCAGTTGACCACATCCGCTGGGCAACCCGACATCATCAAGGCGGTGAAGACGTAGCGAACGAGGCGAGAGCGAGGAGGGAGAGAGCAAAACAAATGCACCAGCAACACCCCAGAACTTGATAACTACTAAAAGGGCTAACTCTTTCAAATGAAAAAAATGTCGGCCCCCAGAAAATCCACCCCTAACACCCTACAACAAAATATAGGATGAAATCAAACAAGGGTGTTAAAACGTTGGATAACAACATTTGACCCAATAACCCCAACACTCCTCCCTCTTCCCCCCAGGCCCCCTGTTTTCTCCATTTTTTCCCCCCCCCCCCCCAAGGCTTTTGCCTGGCGGGCAAAAGCTTATCTGCCCCCCCCCCCCCCAAAAAAAAAAAAAAGCAGGAATGAGAGACAGAAAGGCATAAGAAATGACGTTTGGTTTCACAATACTTTGTGCCTGGATCGCCAGTTGCGATCGTTTGTTTCAATGCACTCAACACCCCAAGAACCGATCGCACCAGTGACTGAAAAAAGCGATCGCAACTTGGCTATCCAGGAATCTACTTCACCATCTGGAGTAAAGGAGATAGATGACTGGTGGGCGCTTATCGGCCCAAGAGAAGAAGGCAGCGTTTTTTGTTTCATAGGACTTTCTGGGCGTCTTTGAACCCCCCTGCAAATTTCATCCAACGCACCCCCCGGGCGCTTTTTGTTCCAGACGTCAGGCCGCGAGCTGCTGGAGAAGCTGACGCACCGCCTGCCGCGCGGCTCGGCGCAGGCGCCGAAACGAGCCGCGAGCCGCGAGCCGCGAATCGGGGGGAAAGGGTGCTGTTTGGGATTGGGTGTGGTCTTGTCTTTTTTGTTTTCAAGATGCGAGCGGCTTAGCGCTTCTTTTTTTGGGGCTGGTGTTTGTATTTTGGGAGTTTGGGGGGGGTGGTGAGTTTGGTAGGGAAGCCAAAAGGAAGCCAGCTGTTTTCGAGGGTTCCGAATCCTATTTTGAGACAACAACCAGCCATGGTTTGAAAAGAAGCCTTCCATTTTGAGCCGGCCACCCATTCTGAAGTCCCAAAAGTTCAAAACGTGTTTTTCTTTAATAGCACGAGGTAAGGTGCCCGCACGCTTTTGTCGGAAGAACACCTGGTTAACTTTGAAAACCCATTGGAGAACCAAGGCGACCCCTCTTTACGTGTGCGGTCGACATTAAACCAGGGCGGGAAGCCACCCCCGTTTAGTGGGGCTTCGTTTGGGGGATTTAACTCGGGTTCACATGGACCTCCTTTTGATCTGAAGCTAACATCAACTTCTTTGCCAAGTCATTTTGCCCCTTGCGTCCCTACAGACTCAGGTTTGTGCCTACATGATCTGTAAGTCTCACAGGACCTTACATGTGGGTGCTCGATTCGCCAAGTTGAAGCTTGTAAGTGGGGGGAAAGGCCAACTTTTGTTACCCTCATTGTTTTAAGCATTTTTTGCTAACCTAGTAACTTGTATTTGCTCCCCTCATTTTTCGCCATGTTCGAGTCGCCCAGGTTTCTTTTCCACTTCCTTCAGTCTGTTTCACCCAGTTGGTACTTGGAGCCGAACCCGAGGGGACCCCCAAGGTGGGTGTTCCTGTTGTTTTTTCTCTTAAAAACCGCCAGACAAAAATATGGTAGCCTCAAAAAAGACACCCCAACGGCGCCACACAAATATAAGGGGATCGAACCCATTTTTCGGGGGCCCTCACGTGGATGCGTAGGTCTGTGGGAGGAAGGGTATGTTATCTGTTTTTCAGGTTGTTTCTCCTTATTCTTGAAGATGAAGACGAAGCCGACGCTTTTTATGCTAGGGAATCAAGGGTTCACTGTTCCAAGATCAGAACTGTTTTGTGCGTTTGCCGGGGGATGGGAAGTCGTTTGTTCATTTTTGCCAGGGGGCAAAAGCAAATGGAGGTTCAGATTCTCTGCCCAGATAGGCTGCAAAGGGGGGTTGCTCTTGGAGATACCACCTGGGCGTATTTGAATGGCTTCCACCCAATGCCAAACAATGAACATGCGGGATGTTGCAGGTAGGTCTCTTCTCAGTTGTTCAAAGCCGACCTTTTGACCTTTTGGTTTTACCATTTTGGTCCATGTTTAGTCATGGCCCCAAAAGCTGATCACCCTTTAGTTTCAAGTCCTTTGGGCAACTGAGTCTCATTTGCATATGTCATTTCCCCGCGTCCGGAAAGAAAGGAAGGCTCGTGCGGAACCGGGCCATTCGGATTTGCGCGGCTGCGCTGGAGGCGGATCTGGACAAAGCCGCAGCCACCAGATCCGGTGAAGAGAGCTTGCAGGTTCCGTTTTTGAACCCTTTTCGGTGGGTTTTATGGTTTAAAAGGATACTAAAAAGGGGCCCCTCAAATGTCTGACACACAAACCTGGGACCTTAGAGTGAGGTCTTTCAGCAGATGCCAAAAAGGGGAGTTGCGATCGCTTGTTTCAGTCACTGTTGCGATCGGTTCTTGGGGTTTTGAGTGGATGGAAAAAAGAGAGCAGCAACCGGCGATCCAGAAACCTCCTTTTTTTAGACCCCCCGCTGGATTCTTAGAGGGAGAGTAACTCGTGGCAGGGGGTTTTAAGGCTGAGCATTTCGTGGCAGGGGTCCATGGCTTCCATGGCTTCCATGGGCCCGCAACATGCAAAGGCTCCGGGGACTGCCCGTCAGACAGACTTTCTCTCATCCCCCGCGAGGCGCGCGCCTGTGTGTGTGTGTGTGTGTTCTTTTCTTTTCTTTTTTTGAGCCGAGGCGCGTTTTTTTCTTCTTTTGTTTTTCCTGGCGCGTGAATTCTTCTTTAGACTGACCCGCAAGTCTTCTCTCAGCGCGGGTTCCTGGACCCGAAAGAACTACTTGCTGCTGCTCAGCAGGGAATGAGCAACGGAATGACCCCTATAAACCATGCCTCGTGTTTTCCTTCCAGGGGACCCCCATGTTCATTCCCTCATTCCCCACTGAGCACCAGCAAGACTACCCATAAACATGGGGATTCACCAATTCCATCATTTTGGGTTGCGATCTCCCCCGATTTTAACCAAGTTGAACCTATCTTGAGGCTCAGGTTGATGTTCCTGTTGGTATTTACAGGACCCGAGTGGAAAAAAGACCAAGGCCCAAGGCCATGCCCTAGTGCCGTGCCCTGGTTTGCTGGGCTGCATGGAACTCGCCAGGCTTTGAGTTGGATTTCCTTGGTTTGTGGTTTTAAAGGGAAGCCAAAAGGAGAACCGGGAGGGGCATCGCGGGGCCCCCCCCAGGAGAACCGAGCGAACCTTCCGAAGAAAGGGGAGTAATCGCTTTTTTGTTTCTTCGCGCGGTGGAATCAGACGCGAGGCGGCACACACATGGATTGGAAGCGTGGTTGCGTGGTCCCGCCTTTTCTCTCCCTCTGTTTTGGGTGTGTCTTTTTTTTCTTCTTAAGGCAGCTTTTTTGGTGGTTTTAAAGGACAACAGAAAGGAATCAATCTATCACCGATATGGGGGGTCTCCTCTACACGAAATGCAAGTTCTCTTGTTCGGTCGTGGACAGGGGAGTCTTGTCCACCAAGCATTGGGTGTATCTTTTTGGGGGGTACTTTTTTCAATGGAAACCGACACATTTTGAGACAAACCCCATTTGGGAGGGTGTCCCCCATGAGAATTCATAGCCATGTGACTGACGGTTAAGGCCCCCTTTGTCTGTATATACTTCCTTGTGGTCAGCGCGCCCGGTCCCACAAGATTTCATCAAGCCAGCTCTACCTCGCAGGTTTGACAGGGCTCCTTAAAAGATCAGTTTGCAACCATGTGAAACATGTGGCTTTTTCAACACCAAAATAAAGTTGGAAACCGCCATTTACAAGTTGCAATGTTCAGGTGTAAGGATCCCTGTTTGAGCAAGAGACTTGACGGGGCGTGCCCGGATCGAATCAGCTTTGCGGCGCTGCCGAATTTCGAACTGGCCGGGACCAGCATGCAATCCAGCGCGGCAGGTCCACTGGTTGACACAAAGGAAGCAATCCAGGCTAGAAATCAGTGGATCAAAGGGGAAGGATAAGGGGTCTTAAAGAGAAGAAAGGGGCAAGGTGGCACAGACAAACAGGACTGGTCTGGCAAAGGCTACTGATTGGACTGAAGTTGCGCAGAGACTCTTTAGCCGGTTGTAAGCTTGCCACTTGACCTGGGGTTCAGTTACCGCCATTAAGACAAAGGTTGGGTTCATATTTCACCACCCTAGTTTACCTAGACATTGTTAAAGTTGTGTCAACCAGTCTTTGAATGGGGCCCGCCCATGAGGTGCGAGGGAGTTATGCCGCCTCTTAAGACATGAAGGGTGAACCACGGCTGTGCTCATGAGAGCCAAGAGCCAGGCCTTTATGCGAATTCGAAGTCTCTGGTGTGCTCACGTTTTCAGTTCACCCACCGGAGCTGCTATTATCTGCAGTTTCTGAAACATTGGCAGCATTACCCGGGAGCCGCTGTCTAGCTGCGACACGCCATGGTCAGCAATGATCCAACATGTGGCGCGGGTTACTAGGGGGCAGGGAACAACTAGACCGCCATGAAGGCGACTCAAGCACGCGCGTTTTCTTTTTTCGCGTTTTTCTGGCGGTCTACCTGTCTGGTTTGCTAACCCACCAAGCTCATTCCACTTCCATGTTTAAGCACCTCTGCGTTGGCGTTGGGCAGTTTTGGGCTTCTAGCTCTTGGAAGACGCCGCTGCTTGAAGGGATGCCGTGTGCCGCTGGAGGTACCGTGGTCCACGAAAAAAGGGCTGCGTGGGTTTTGCTGCGTGCTTCCATGTTGATGGATTCCATGTTGGAATCTCTGTGCTTATATCAGTGAAAGAATTTCTGGGGGTATGTTTGCGCAGCTTCCATGTTTGTCGAACAATGCCGCATGAACTTCCATGAATGTTCAAAAAAGAAATCGATGTACTTCTAAGACTGGCCACAAGAGAGTGACCAACTCAATCTCCAACTCAATCACCCCCCTGCAAACAATACCCAAGATTTAGCACCTGCTAAATCCCAAAGCCGTGGCCAAAGCAACCAGAAGCAAAAGAGACGTCGTCTGGGGATCAGGAACAAGCCATGGCCGACCTATGCATCATGACAGCCAAGAGGCAACCGTTTGTGCTAATTCCCCTGTGGACATCTTGATTTCAGATCCAGGCTGCCTTGTCACCCACCGCGGTGACCGTTCTTCGAAACAGACACAGGGATCCAGTGCCCGGGAGCCGCGTATCTACTTGCGACAGAGCTTAGACAGCCATTGTGAAGGTGATTCACGCGTGTGGCACGTGCGCCCCCGTTTGGTCTACCTGAGTGCTTGTTTGGTTCCGCGCTCTCGCGCGCAGGCGGCGGAAGCGTTCCATTCCTTTCCTTGCAAAAGCTGGATTTAGGAGGTTCCCCCTCAAAACCAATCGCCAAACAAAAACTCTTGTTCAATGCCCGCTGGGCTTGTCGGAGTTGAAACGTTTCGCTGCTTTAGAACTTCGCGCGCTTCAAGCTGAGGCAGAAGAGGACGTCAAAGATGTCTACAAGTTCTTGACGGCGTGGATGGGGAAGCTTCGGTATTGGTCAAAAGTGGACCATCGCCACAACCACTTGGTCACTTGTCAGGAAATGGACCCGTAAAAACTGTCCAAAGCAAGAAGGCTGGAGCTCGACAATCGTGGTTTTCGTTCAGGCGGGGCGTCAGGTGACTGCTAAAAGAATTGTGTGAAAGGCGCGGGCCTTTGGCTTCCTTGGATCTCACCATAGAACAACACCTGGTTAGGAATTGTCATACACCTGCGATCCACGGGTACAGATGACGCGTCCCAAAAAAGTGCTGGTGATGGAGGTCTTGCAACAACTAGTGGAAGGGATGAATATGTCTTTGTATGAGAGTCTCACCTTGATAACACCCAATAGCATGGAACGCACAAAAACAACCAGAAACAAACGCAATTCGCCATGCCCGTGACCTCAGCATCCGCAGACCCAGAAAACAACAGCCTTCGAAGTGTTGGCGCCCTACCTCGGCGGCTTCGCAATGTGTTACGTCATCTCTGGAAGTATATTTAATTTCAGGGAAGCCCATTTTTTTTGGAACAAACACGGCAAACAAATTATGGTTTTCCTTGTGATTTCCCTTTAAACCACCTAAAGCGTCGGGGGTTGATGTTTTGGGAACTAAATGTCGAGCTCACCGCGACTGACATAGGGATAACAGTCCCCTACAGGGTGCATGATCAAACTCACGGCCCTATGGGCAATGGTCAAAAGAATCGGGATGGTCATTCTGGTAAAACATTCTCAATAGACATCCTGCATAGCCAAATTGCTGTTTTTTTTCAGTCACTGTTGCTGATTTTTGGGGTACACTGCATGGGGGAAAAACGGCAGCTGGCGATCCAGGATTGTTCTTGTTCCCTCTTTATGCGGACCATGTCTCTTCGACCCCCCCTCCTTTAGTTTTACGGGAGCCCGGGACCACCGCGCCAGGCGAACGAGACATGCAGCCACACCGAGATGACACACCAGGCACTCCGTTTTAGTGCCAGATCGTGTGGGTCTTGTGGCTGGTGGTTTTACGGTGGCTTTCAGAAGTGGTTTTATGAAGTAGTTTTGTGGTCTCGTAAGTGTCATGGTACTAAGGCCTCATGGTCTCATGGTCTCAAAAAGTTCTGCAACCTGGTCTTTTAGGGTGTCCTGCAACCTGGTCTCATGGTCTCACTGCCAGATCTCGGGACCTTTGTAATGGCCAATCTCGTGCGGTGGGTTTGTGGCACACTCTTCTGAACCACCGAAACGCCAGCTTCTTCAAAGCATTTCTACACGTGCCAGGTGATTTTTTCGCTGCATCCTCTAAGGATCCCGAGAAAGAGAACTCCTCCCAAGGTTGCGACGTGGGGCAATTATTTTTTTCCTTTAAAGGGTGGTGGCCATGAAAGGTCTAAGAAAAACACATCCAAGCATGTCTTACCAACAGAGATCCAAAACCCGCCAAGACATCCATATTTGAACAACTGCGGCCATCTAGATTTCCCAAGGGATTCCTTCTTCCAGGCTTGGCGAAACATGTCATCGAGGTTTGTCAACTCCCCGCAAGCTATGGAAGGTACTTCAAGGGGCCTCACAAAGACCCGGCGAACAACCGCTGGCCAAAATGTTGTGTTTCAACTGCTGGCCAACATGTGGTGTTATTTTCGCTCCTCTGGCTTATATGGGTGTGGCTCAAAACATTTTCCAGAGCTGGATTGGGTTACGGTTACGCAGGTTTTGGTCTGAGTCTTTGTGTGCAAGGGGCCCAAAAATGGGGGCCCACTTTGAGCCACGTGGAGCCACAGCAGTTGCCATTTTGAGACGAAACTCTTGGTGTGAGAGGGGATGCCTTCAAAGAATCTTCGCTTGCTGAAAGCTCTCCGTGGATGAACGGTAAAGTTGGGAGTCTGTGGGTTGGAACCATGGGGTGTCCTTTTTTGGGTTGTTTTGGGGAAGAACAAAATCCATGGCGCTTCCTGGTTGACCTGATTGTTTCATCATCCAGGGCATCTGTCAGCAGGCCTGCCGCACCAAAAAGTGGCCGGAGCTCGTCGGGTAACTTGGCGTTTGGCCGATCCCAGTTTTTCGGGACCTGGTGGGTCCCAGGTGCTTTGTCCATTTCTTCGTCAGCCACCTGGGACTCCAAGAAGTAAGCAGCTGAATCTCACCACTTGCCTATGCCAATTGGGTCGCCAATTGGTTTTGGGTGAAGTAGCTGGTTTTGGGATGGGATCGGTTTTGAGACCTCCCTTCAAGCCTCAAGGCGGTCGCACTTGGAGAAGGTCCATGGCAACTGGCTGCGTGTTCATATACCCACCAATGGGAGAGCAAAGACAGGTGTTGCTACAAAAATCCCCTTCTGGTGGTTTCAAGCATCACTTTGAAGTCTTCGTTTCCTTTCGGTGGTTGGTGATGTGCAATAGGGAAATAATGTGGGGTGCTCGCGCTCTTTTGCGAAAGCCATGTTTGTTGCTGCAACGGGTCCCGCCTTGGGGATGACGGTGCCGCCCCCCACCGCGCAGGTCTTAGAGTTCTACAAGGACTGGTGGGTCAGCCAGGGGCTTAAAGCCTCGGCTTGTGGCAAGGGAAAAAAAAGGCGGCCTTTCGGGTTGGCTTTTGGAGATGGCTCAAAAGGATGTACCAAAATGAGAAGCACTTGCCCAAGTTTGGAGGTTTCACCCAGGGGATCGGAAAGGACATCAACACCACTTCGGGTCGAAAAAGACACCTGGATCCTCAGCATTCCAACTTAGAAATTGGCGATCGCCGGCCAAACTTATGGTTGGTGAATTCCTTTTTTTGGGTTGGGTGAGGGTCCAGAAAATGCTCATTTGTAGCCCTTGGGGTGGGTTGAACGGGAACCAAAACAAAAACCGCCATGTGGGGGGGGGGGGGCATCCCTGCAAAAAAAGGCACTCCCTCCATTTGCAAAGCAGGCAGATTGAAAGGAGCCTCGCATTTTCCCCCAATTAGAGCGTCCAGAAAATGGTTGGGTTTCTTGAATACGAATACGCATCTTGGCCACTTGCACCCTCAAACTGGCCTAGATGGGTGATTGCAAGTGTTTGGATGGTTTCAGTTCGGATCTCCGTATTCGACCTACAGAAAGTGAACAACTTTTTGCAGATAGATCAACATCAACCAAGGAGGGTCGTTTTGGAGTCTTGGTCCCAGATCAGTGGCCTTTTTCACGTACCATGCGCCATCCATGGACCTGGTTGTTTCTTCTTTGCCGGCGGTGTTGGCTCCTTGGATGTTGGTTGCCTAGGTCGGGGAAGTGGGTTATGACCAAGGTCAAAGCTGGTCGGCAGCTGGGGTTCTTTGGCGCGCAAAGTCATAGGCTATGGCTTATGGCCTACTTACTAAGTACCTGGATCCTCAAACTACCCAAAGGGACCATAGCTTTGTGGCCATATCCCATGTTTGAGTTGGACTTTTGCTACCCAAAGGGAATTCATAAATCCCACAATTTTGGGTGGGTTGCAACTCACCCCATTCTTGAACTACCCATACAGGGAATTTACCAACCATAGCTTTAAGTACCTGGATCCTCAAACTACCCAAAAGGAATTCACCAATCCCATAATCTTGGGGTTGCAACTCACCCCACTTTCGAGTTGGAATTCTTGAGGCTGGGTCCAGGCTTGAACCTCCCAAGTTGCTTTGAACCTTCCTCGGGAGACAAAGAACATCCCAAGGCCAGAGCGGCATGCTGGCGATCGCAGAGGACTCCCGAGTGGAGGAGCTGAACAGGTGCGGAGTTTGACCAAGACCGTTTTTTTTTTTTTTTTTTTTTTTTTTTTTTTTTAATACATAAGGAAGTAAATAATTCATTTCAATAGTCGGCTTGATGTGAGATGGCCCATGAATGTCCATAGTCGGAGCCACCTCCAAAGTGGTTGGTGGACATGAATGTCCAGCGAGAAATGATGTCCAAAGGGTCCCCTGTTAAAGTTTTCACTCAAATGAGATCTCAAGCCTCGAGTAAACTCCCAAGTTTGCTTGAAGACCATCGTCAATCCACTCTGAAACCATGCCTACATCACTCCAAGTATGGTTTATTCCCACCATACTGCAGATCAGCTGCTTTTGGGTCATCCAGGTGCATTAGCAGAATGTTCGAGCTGGGCGTTCCCCTGGCACTAGGCGGGGCTCAGTCTGAGTCATTGGCAGGCGGTTGAATGCTTCGGGGAGTCTCGAAGGCTCATTGGGTGTTGTCTCGAAATGTGGGAGACTCGCAGAAGAGGCGGTTTGCTGTTAAAAGCGTCATCCACAAAAGGGGATTCCCAAGCTCATAGAAGCCAGCGAAACAGGAAGAAACTTATTGGAAATTGATTTCCAAAATGCCCAGCACCCACAAGGGGTCTGTCTTTCTTTGGAGTTGGTACACTTTTCTTGTTGTAAAGGGAACCCAAGAGGAACACCTAAATCATTTTTTGGGGTCCAAGTCGCAAAAAAGACGTAAGCTGATTTCCCGTGGACCTTTCTGGTTCCCATGTTGTGTAGACTAACCGAATGAAGGGACCAACGCATCGCTGTTGAAATCGCCGCACCGAGTCGGACGAGTTGGGATCGAAGCGGATGGAGGTGAGAAGCGGACGCCCCAGTTCACGCTGTTTCAGGCGGGGTCCGAGGGGGGGGCCCTGTGGGGCCCTGGGGGGCCCTGGGGGGAGGCGGGCTGTGCGGTGTGGGAACGAATCTGAGAGCCGAAGCCCTGGTTGATGTTCGTGGGGGTGTCTCCCTACCCCCTAATGAAGAGGCCGGGTTCTAAATCCGGGGTCACCATGATCCAGGTCAGTGTCAACAAAGGCAAACCAGGCGTTGACAGAAGGGAAACTGTATTTTCCGAAAGGCGAGCTTGCCATGGTTGGAATGCCACAAGCAAGGCACGGGGGATTCTAGGGCTACTTCAAACCACGATCCAGTCGATAGCACCGATTGCCTTTGGGTCTCGCATGCGTTTGAGGGTGTCTTCTCTCAGAGGTAAGGTCCGCGTTCAAGCACGGTCCGCTTGCTCGAAGCGATCGCGAGCAACCGTGCCTCTACTCAGTTGTTCAAAGCCGACCTTTTGACCTTTTGGTTTTCCCATTTTGGTCCATGTTTAGTCATGGCCCCAAAAGGTTAACCTTTTAGTTTCAAGTCCTTTGGGCGACTGAGTCTAAAAGAAATTAAACCAAGAAAATCTCCCCAGGTCATAATGTTGACCCAGGACTCATCATCTCTGGTTCATTCTAGAGGGCGGCGCACATGGTTCGGAATTGCGGCGGGTCCACTTAGGTGCTTTTTGCGAGGGCAAACCAGAAGTACGCCCACATCACGTCCACTTGTTCCAAGCAGTCAGGGAAAGGGGGGGAGGCCATGTCCCAAATGAAGGTGGACGGAGTGGACGGACCCTTCCCCATTTTGACCTACACCCTTGCTCCCGTTGCTCTCCGCGGCCAGAAAATTGGTAGCCTATCCACGTGCAACCTTTTGGTGGAGGCTTCCAGTTTCTTTTGGTCAGGTTCCTTGCTGGACATCTGTTTTTGGAGTTTCGTTGGCGTTTCCAAACCGGCCGTCCGTTTTCTCCCACGTTTTTCGTTGAAGCAATGTTGCCCCAAAACGTCAAAACGGCCGTCCTTTTTTCCTCCCGTGTTGTTTTTGGTTGAAACAATGTTGCCCCAAAACGGCCGTCCCTTTTTTCTTTCGTTTGTTTTTGTTGAACCAATATTGCCTTAAGTTGGCTGCAGTTTGGACCGCCCACTTCCCTTTGGCGCCCCAATTGCGGCCATCGAGGGCCCAGAAAAATCAGCGGCCCAGTTTGCGAAGCTGAAACCAGTGACTGCGAAAGGGTTAGGTCCCTGTCCCGTTGCCATGGAACCTGACAGTCGGGTCCTGGACGAGCTTCCTCTAAAAAACGGAACCCTCTGGTGGGTTCCATGGCAACGTGGACAGGGTAAAAGACTGCCAAGCTGCACCTTGGCTTTACTCGCTGGTTCTTTCGTAGGGAATCAACCGGAAATGTTGGGAATGAACCTGTTTCAAGGAGCAAAGTCGAATGATTCACTTCGATGCGGGTCATTCCTTCCAACCAAAATTTGCTGTCGAAGCGCTTCGATGGCAAGTCTTGGGACACCAGAGCCCCTAGCTACGCTGCGCGAACCAACCAGCAGAGGAGATTGAGATCCGGGGCAACAAGACCGAGTGCATCACTGCAGAGGAGAGTCGTCCGAGTGATGCACTCCAGATAAAATTCGTGATGTACACAAATGCGGTGAATAGTAGCTTACACTTAGATGTATGAATGCATAGATATACATATACGCATGTGTATATCTAGATATGTCCACGTGAATATGAACATGCCTACATATACATGTGCATGTACATGGACGTGTGCAGGAACATGTACATGTACCTGCATATGTCTATACACATCTGCACACCGATCTCAAGCCCAGCTGAATAGCTGATCCTTGTTCCACTCCGCCCAGTCTTTATCCCAAATGCGGCACCTCAATGGGTCAACCTGACTTCCGCACTCTGCGCGTTCGGCCGACTTTTCTCTTGTCCTACTGTGGATGGACGAAATCCTGCACCACTTTGACCCCATGGGAAACCCTTCTTCATTGGTGTTTACAGGCGAATGAACATTCCAGGGTTTCTTAGGTGGTGCAGGATTTCGTCCATCCACAGTATTGTGAAAAAAGGTTCTTTTTTTTGTGGTTGTCCTTTCGGGTCTCTTCAAGTCCAGCAAAGGAAAGGGGCATGGTGGATGTCCTGAATACTGCAAGTAGGGAGTAAAGGAAGCCCTGTAAATTCAAACATGGAATTTGTGGTTGGTTTAATTGCATACTGGAGAACGGGGCATCCACCGTACCCTCAACCCGAATCCCCTGAATATTGCCGCGGCACAACACAAAGTGCTCCGACGCCGCTGTACGAGCCAGTAAACCATGCTGGGTTTCTTCGTGGATTCCAGCACATGACTCGCAGCAAAGCAACGAACCTGGATCGCCAGTTGCTGCTTTTTTCCATGCACTTTACCCCCAAACCCAGCAACAGTGACTGAAAAAAGGCAGCAACTTGGCTATCTAGGAAGTCGCAAAAACCAGTGCTCTGCCATGAGAAAGTGAGGCCCCAAAGGTTTGCTACCTGCCTTGCTGAAAAAGCAACCAAGTCAACAAAAGGCCATCACCCAAAAAATCCACCCGCACACATCATCGCCGAGTTAGTGGGTGTGTCCTTTTTTTTCTTTCTTTTTTCTTTTTTTTAGAAGGCCCCTCTGGGGGGGGGGGGGTGACTTATTTCAAGGGAAACTAAAGGGACGCCGCCATGTTGGAGGTTCCCCATTTTGACACAAACCCGAAAGGGCGGGTCTCTTCATGCGTTGAATCTTCCGGAGTCGCATCTTGGCCTTGGGGTTCGGATCGGAAAGGATTATCCATCCGCCTTGAAGATCGGTTCGGCAGGCCACGATTGAAACGACAGGGTTAAATTGGGTCATGCGTTCTTTTAATGGGGGTTGAACTTGTTGGGATCCTGTGTTTGCTTCATCTGAACCAAGGCCAGAATCGTAGGTTGACTTCGGATCAACTCGGATGGTACAAATGAATCAAGGGTGCCTGGATCGCCAGTTGCGATTTGTTTTTTCTCTTTTTTTTTCCCCCGTGCACTTTACCCCAAACGCCGAGCGCAACAGCGACTGAACAGAGCGATCGCAGCTTGGCGATCTAGGCGGTCCCATTCTTTGGGGAATGACCAGGAGGTCCTCTGAAATCGGGTCCTCGACGTTATGTGAAGGTAGCCTTCGCCCTTCGCGAGTTGGTTCTTTTTTTCTCCCAGCCACCAGGCCACCGGCTCCTGAAAAAAATAAGATTGGGGGAAGCCCTCCGGAATCAAAGTGCCCAAAACCTCGAAAAGTGGGGAGGACTTCGACCCCGGAACTCGACCTCGGGTGACCCATTTAAATTGATACCAAGTCTCCCCAGTGGTGGCCTTTCGCCCGTTTTTGGATGGGACGGTTCCCCTCCTAAAATAGACTCCAGAACAAAGTTGGTACCCTTATTCTAACCTCTCAAATCTGGAGGACCTAAGGACCTAGGATATCCCTTTTTCCTACGAGCAAAGTAGGAAGTGGGGGATTCCCCCCATCGGCCGAGGAGCTCGTTGGGGAGGGAAGCCCCTTCCTGGCAGTTCTAGGCGCGCCGATCGATGCGAGTGGGGAATTTGCTGGGAAACTGCGAGTGCGGGTGCGAGGATGCGAGAACTTGGCGCCAGCTTCGAAAACAGTCCGTGAAGCTGGGCCTACGCCAGGTCCTACGCCAGCGGTTACGCTTTGAGGGCAGTTCTTTGCAGTTGGTCCTGGTTACCGCATGTGGCGGGCAAAGTGAGCCCAGTGTTGGCTACATGCACCAATTCCAAAGAGCTCCCCTCAAATCACAACAGCACTCAGCAAAGCTCGCGCAAAGTTGCCCTGGCAGCCCACTTGCAAGCCTCCTTTGAGGCTAACCCAGTCGGTGTTCTCTCAAATTTGGCGTTGGGCACTAACTTGGCGAATCGAAGTCCCAAGTAAGGAAGGGTTGCACCTAGTAAGGAAGGGTTGCACCTAGTAAATAGGCGTTTCACCGTGGTTGCAAGGGAACCACCCCAAGAAACATTCAAGTTTACCAGCCAAACATCACCCACCGATTTTTTGGGAGTTTCATGGGCCGACGCCCCAGGAGTGAAGTTGCAGGTGTCCTTTTTGGTCGCTTTGGCAGAAGACAAAACAACACGGCTCCTGATTTATGGCTTCAGTTGAGAGGGTCCTTTTTGGTTGTTTTGCTCGACAAATAGATGGCAATTCCGATCGGTTTGCCAGGTGGTTTCATCATCTACCAGGGATAATTATCCGTCTATTTCCAACCTAAAAGGACACTTACTGTGGATGGACGAAATCCTGAGCAACCCTGGAATGATTCCTCTACAAATACTATCAAGCAATGGCTTCCCATGGTTTCAACGTGGTGCAGGATTTCGTCCATCCACAGTATGGAAGCCGCGAAAACTGCCTGGCAGCAAAGAGCCTGGCGGAGCTGTACCCTCAGCTGACCCTGGACCTCTTCGTGCTGGACGGCTCAGGCGCTAGTGGCTGGGGGCCCCAAAGTGGAGTACCCAAAATCGGCCCCCTAGACAGCCAAGGGAACAAGCAAGGGAAACATATTTTATATGAAGCAACAAGAAGAACCACCTTGATGGCCGAGTTGCGATCGCTGTGGGACATTTGGATGGTTTTTGGGGGGTGTTTCTCACAAAAAAAGTATCGGAATCGGACCCCCAGAAATGGCCCAGCTAGCCCAGTTGCGATCGCTTTGTTCAGTCACTGTTGCGATCGGTTTTTGGGGTTTTGAGTGCATGGGGAAAAAAACCAACAGATCGCAACAGGCGACCCAGGTAGCCCTGAAGTACTCCGTCCGATGAAACCATCCAGAGCCGTCTAGGCAGATGAATTGTCCCTACCTGCGCTTTTCTCTTTGGATCATTAGCATGGGTGGGTTTGCCGGGGGGGGATGGGGCACTGTGACTAGGTCTCTCAGCCAGGTGCCCTTTTACCATTTCTGTTTTGGTTGGGCTCCCCTACTAAAATAGACAAAAAAGGGTACCCTTCTTCTAACCTCTCAAATCTGGAGGACCTAGGTGAAAGTGCCAGAAACAAGCTCCATCCACGGTGGTTTTGACAAATCTAAGGCGCAACTATTGTTTCAGACCCTGACCCTTGATCTGCATGGAAAACGAGCCCAGCTCTTGGAACCCTGAGACTGCGGTCGTTTGCAATCCCTTTGACATCCGTGGGTGGGGCCCAATTCCTGGTCATTAATAGCCCGCCAGGGCCCATGGATCTTTTCAGTTCCCAAGCTACTGCCTCCCTCCGACTATCACGGTTGACGCGGGGGTCCCCACAGGACGTTGATCCAGTTTGCACCGACCCCTTCGAAGTTTGCCCTCGAACCGCTTCACGAAGCCTGCCGAACCAAAGACCCTCAGGGGTGGGGGTCCAGAAAGCTTCGGGCTTAGGGCCTTTCCAGGTTGGTTTTCGGGTGTGTTTTCCCCACACTTGCCCTAAGATGTTGCCAACCTGAGAACCTGAAAGGCCCGAAGAAGGTCTAGGTCCTCCAGCTAGGTGCCCTTTTACCAACTTTTTTGGGGGAGGGCTCCCCTACTAAAATCGACTACAGAAAAAAATAGGGTAGCCTTATTCTATTCTCTCTACTGGAGGACCTAGAGGTGGTTGCAAGAGATCGGCCATCGTTCTGATCGGCGCTGTCCACCAGATATTGGGGGCCCCGCTCGTTTTTGGTGAACCCAATGGCCGTTTGCATTGGGTCACATTGGGGTTGGGTCAAAAGCAGGGCCCCGTTTGGCCATGCTAGGACTTGGAACCGAAGTGGTTGGATTTTTTCTCGCCTCATTTTGATGGTTCATAGTGGTTGGACTTTTTCCTCCCCTCATTTTGACGGTTCATAGTGGTTGGACTTTTTCCTCCCCTCATTTTGATGGTTCATTTAAAGATTCCCATACTACCGTGACTCCACGTTGAGTTCGTTTTAGCCATGGGAGTCTTGGAATGCTGCTCGCTGAGTCCAGCTGGGTGTCCAGCAGACCTACCTCCGGCTGGTGTGGCCGGGGTCCTGGTTTCGGGTTTGCCCCAATGGGGTCTGTCAGCAGTCACCCCGCCCCCCTCCCAAAGATTCAAAGGTCTGTAAGGACACTTATGAACATGTGGCAATTCGTTTCCCCTGTGTTCGTTTTCACTCCCCGCTTCTGTTGTTGTAGCTTCCCTTGGCTGTCTTCCTCACTGCCGGAAACCAGCGGGTTTTCTTCCAACTGGTTCATCCAGCTATGGATTTGTCGACAGCCACCGATGCTCGTCGGTTTCCCAAACCACCGGAGTCGATGCGAAGAAATGCGCCATCGCCGGAGGCGTTTCTTCCCCCCAGGCGCTCAAAACCCCCCCCCCAAAAAAAAACGGTCGCAGCAGCGACTGGAGAAAAGGCGATCGCAGCTTGGCGATTTCTAGGCGTGTCTGACGGAAAAAGACCAGTTGTTTGACGCGCAAGAAAGAATTGGTCGTTCGTTCCGGGCCCCAGGTGGGGCGTGTTTGGAGGGTGTTTTTTTCAGACCATTTGAGTGTCCATGTTGGGTCTGGTTTTCCTGGCGGTTTCCCTTGTATAGAACCAAAAGGCTGCCCGTTTTGGAGTTGATTGAAAAAGGAAAGCCAAGAGGAAGTCCCCTAGAACGAGACAAACCCGTTTGTTTGAGAAGATTCTTTTTTCCCGCTGTTGGTTTTAAAGCTAGCATCTATAGCTACTCGACTTGAGCAACGGGAGGTTTCTTTTCTCATCTCACAGCTGGGCAGAAGTAGTTGGCGTATATACCCCTCTCTGTAGCAGCTGTAGTGGTAGTATATCCACCTCCCCTGCGGTTTCCTGTTGATAAGGGGACCCGCAGCGGGTTCCGATCGTTTGCGCCGAAGGGTTTCCGATTTTCAGAACCTATTGGTTAGCACCCTTTCGAGTTTGAACGCCAAGGCAAAGGGAAAGGCCAGTGTATCTCTTTGAGCCGTTTGTCGCGAAAAGCATCGCAGGCCCTTCAAAAGCTATTTTCTGACCAAAGAAAACTTCAAAAACCTTGCGAGTTCCATGTCAGCAGAGAGGGTACTCGGAGTAACTGGCTAATTCACGGGGGGACTTAGAACCACCGGCAACCACAGTACCGCCACCTTTCCCTTTTGGTTTGAAAGGGTGGTTCCCTTAGTTACCCATGTACAGGCAAATGGATCCATCGGGTTACTAAAAATGGAGTTGCATTTCATTTGGAAGAGGTTTTTCCAAATACCCTAAGACAAGGCCGGGTATTTTGAGGGGGCATGACTTTGGGTCGGGGATACGGGGGCGTGACTTGGCTGACATACCCGGAACCCGGATCGCCCCTTCCTTCTGCCTTCCCGGGTGGCTCCCCTGCTCTTGCCAATGAAATCCCGGCCTCAGTTGAGAATCCGCCAAAGGGGTCCTTGCATAGGTGTCCTTTTGGTTTGCTCGAAAAATCGATGGCGATTCCTGGTTTGCCTGGTGGTTTCATCATTTACCAAGTCTATTTCCCCAAAAGGACGCCTATGGGTCCTTGTTTTCCTTTTCTGGTGCAAGAATCGGACCCTAAGCTGTCAAACAGAAAATTTGGCTTTCGTCTGATGCTTTTCATGGCTGGTGTCCCCTTTCAGAGGGGATCCTTCACGTTCGGGGATCCCGCAAGCAAATGGTTCTTATTCCGGGGGTCCCTTTGTGACAATGTTTTCAAAGTACCAGTTTTAAGGTGGTTCTCAAGGGAAGCCAAAAGGAAAACCGAGATCCATGTTGGGTGTCCGATTCCTAACAAACAGTAACATGCCTCGGAAACGGCCGGGGTATTTGAAGCCCGGCCGCCCCGAATCCCATGTCTTGGGGATGCAAGTCTTTTAAGTTTCGCGTGTTGGAGATATGGGTACTCCAAAGCGGGCGGTTTCCCTCTTTCCCTCGTACACACACCTGGATTGCCAGGTGAAAAAAAAAGCAACTTGGCTATCTATGTGGGATTCCGACTCAACAAAGATGAGCCACCCATATGGGTGTGGCTCAAAATTGAAGAGCTAGGGCTAATTACGCAGGTTTGAGTCTTTGGTTCCATTTACCAAGGCGCCGTGGTGGTACATTTGTTTGAGCCACAGATTTGGGGGGAGGGTGTGTTTTGTTTAGCAAACCCACAAGGGGTTCCGGCTCAAACACGACGAGTCGCGGCCATATCTGGGGAGGTTCTTATGTTTTCCTTTTTTTTTGGGATTCCGACTCCAAAAAGACGAGGCGCAGCAATACTGTGGATGGACGGAATCCATTTCGCACCATTTTGAAACAATGGTTGAAACAATGATTTGTTGGTATTTACAGGGCAATCGACTCATCCCAAGCTTTGTTGGGTGGTGCGAAACGGATTTCGCAACCATCCACAGTATGGCTGCGCCTCGTTTTTTTGGAGTCGGAATCCCAAAAAAAGGAAGAACAGAAGAACCTCCCCAAATATGGCTGCGACTGGTCCGCCATATTTGGTGGCCATATTTGGGGGGGGGGGGGGGTTGTTTGGGGCGTTTTCTTTTTTGTTGTTGCCGGAGCCGAGGCAGAACGTCATCGTGGACCTGGCAAGGGCTCAGTTCATCCTCGACCTCCTGGTGCTCGGCTCCCAGAGCCGCAGAACGGCCAAATGGGGGGTTGCCTTTAAGGGAATATGTATGTACTGGGGTCATTGTTTTGACGGTTTCTGGGGGTTGTCAAAGTCAGACAATGGGGTTGTTTCCCTTTAACCCACCACTCCGGGGGTGACTTTGAGCATGGCAACATAATGCTGCTAGATGTAGGCCCCGGAGTTTTTTTTTTCAGAACCCCAGATATGTTTTTGTTGGTCGACCTCAGTTCATTGATAGGGTGTCCAATTGGGTTTAGTGGGGATTCAAACCACTTTTGGGAACACCCTCAGATAAACATGCATGGGTTTATCAATGATGTGTTGTTCAAAGCCCCAGATTGTTTTGTCGACCCCAGTTTATTGACAGGGTGTCCAATTTTTGGAGGGGAACACCCTCACATAAACGAGGGGTGTATCAATCTGGGGTGAACATTGAACCAAAAGGACGTTGTTTAAATTGAGCTGGTTGCAGACAAGAGACCGCGTATCATCACATTTTGAGTGGGAGCCACACGGGGAAGACATTGCAGGCTTGGATCACAAAGGCTCATCGTCTTCCTATGTCTCCCCATGCGAGTCGCCTGTGTTCATGTTCTCAAACATTGTGAACCTACTTGGAACTTGCTTGGAACCTGCTGGAATCTGTCTGCTGGAATCTGTCTGCTGGAACCTTTTTCTCAACTCCCCGCAAGCTTTCTGGAAGACAAATCGCAAGGGGTCTGACCTTCTACCCTAAACCTCTCAACTATACCTTTTCGGTAGCGTACCTACCCCCCACGGGATTTCATGGATCAACAGTAGCCCAAAAACAGTTGCCAGTGGGTTTCCTTTTGGTTTCCTTTTGGGACATCCCTGTGGATGGTTGCGACATCCAGTTCGCACCTTCGTTATGGTTCCTTCCCACGGTTTCAACCATCCATCAGCACCACTCACCAGCCAAAGCGGTTTCTTGGAAATAGGCTCGGGTTTCCTTCTTGGTTTCGATTTGGGACATATGGTATATTTGGGTTTCCTTTTGCTAGGTCCCCCAGTGGTGCCTTTTTACCTTTTTTTGGGGAGGGTTCCTCTACTAAAATCGACTTTCTATCCTCGCTACTGGAGGACCCAGTTTTGGTTTTTGCAGGACATCTCTATGGGATCCATCTCTCTCCCTGCGATCCAGCGTTCAGGGCTCGGCTCAAGGCCAGCGAGGCCGGACAAGGGCCGAGGGCCGAGACGTCTCCCCTTTCTTTGTGTTTTTTTTGGGTGGTTTTCCTTTTTTTGTTTTGTTTTCCCAATGTTGTTTTTGCCCCCGGTTGCCGGGGGTGCCCGTGGTTTTCCACTAAGGCCATGTGGTGGTTTTTTGGCCGGGGGTGCCGAATTCCAGCCCATTTTTTTTTTTGGGGGGGGGGCAGGGGGGCAAGGCCAATTTGGGGGACTTGGATGTTCCTTGCCCACGGGAAAGTAGGGTATAACCATGGTAGGGTAACTGGGGTTGGTTCCCTAACAAGTTTTGTGTGAACTTCCATTTTGGGTATGAATTTTATCCTCCCTCCCATTAATGAAATGGAAGACACGAATTTCCCTCCCTCCCTCCCTCCCTCCCTCCCTCCCTCCCTCCCTCCCTCCCTCCCTCCTATTTTATCCCTCCAAGAGGTTTATCCTCCCTCCCTCCCAACTTGGAACCTGAGGAAACTTTTTGGAAGACCTGTCGGTTCCATCTTCGTAGATTTGCGTAATTTGGGGGCCGAAATGGCGGACATCAAAAACTTCCTTGGGATTTAGGGCCAAGAAACTCTTTAAAAATCCCAGGCTTTTGGCTAGTTCAAAGGGAATGCAAAAGCCAAGGCATAGCCATCGTGTGGGTCTCTGTTCTGGCTAGTTCATTTTGGCCCTCCGTGAATGGAGGACTCGCCAGACGATGCTGCTCCGGTGGTCCATACTCAAATGTAGTTGTGGATTTTCTGTGGACAGTGCCAACAGAGTGGCCAAAGAGTGCAACGATTGTCGGAATCCAGATGCAGTTGGGGCATCTAAGAAATAGTCCAGATCCGATACTTTTGCCCAGCGACCCACGCACCAACGGGGCGATCGATTCGGTACGTCAGATAAGTGGTGAGGTTCCTTGGGGGCACATAAGCCACCTGCAATGGCGAGCTGGCTGGCTATAGCCCTGGCTCTGGGCATTTCATTTGTTTTTCTTTTGGCTTTTGGGCGGGGGGGCGCACCTGGTGACCTGACCCAATTTTTTCTGGTTCCGTTCTTGGTGAATTCGGCCATGGAGTTCAAGAGGCGGAATCCGTAGCTGTTGAACATAGGGATTATTTTCAGCAATCCCAATCGCCATTGGCTTTGGGGCCACAGAGGGTGGCAAGCGTTTTCTACCACCTCTTACTTTCCTTGCAGGTTCTCAGCACGGAATCAGGGAATAACCGTTGAAGAACCCCCATAGACCATACCTTTCCTTTAAGGGAATCCCCTTTGAGTTCATTCCCAACACCCGCACTCGTTCATTCCTATCGCACCAGCAAGTTTCGGAAGGGTGAACCTTCAGGGGGGATACCTTTACCATGGAACCCACCAAAGAAATCTTGAAATGGTCCCCAACAAAGAGGACAATTGTCTTTAGAAACTTTAGACCGCCTGTAAGGGTGCCATGATTGGATACCCTTCAAAAGCCCGGGTACCTGGTGCCATGGTAGCGGGTAGATTTGGGGGGGTCTTGGGGGGCTTTCCTTGTGGTTTCCCTTCAAAACCCATAAGACATCATAAGCAAACCCCGATCGAGCCGACCTGGGCCTATCAACCCCATTGGTTTTCCGCTGTTGGGGGAAAACAGGGGGTACCAAGTCAAAACTTGGTGGTTCCCAGCCATCCGGTTCCTTAGCTTTTTAGCCTTTTAGCGTTTAGATGTATTTAGTGGTAGTTTCCATTTAACTTACTACAAGTTAGTTACTTTTAGCGGAGGATCTGAAACGGGCGGCCCAGAAAAGAGAAGCCACAACCACGGGCACCTGCGAGCCGCGTCAAGCGACAAAAGAATCGTTTGGTTCGCCCCTGCCCTCAGGGTGGCTTCCGGACACATACGACAAAAACATACGACAAAGATCGCGGGGTAAGCCCCAAGAATGCACGTCTGTTGACTAGGAGCACCTTTTTATGGTTGGGGTGTCCCTTTTGTTTCCGGATTTGAGCCCGGGTTTCCCTTTAAACCTCTCAAAACACACGAGCCACCGGTGTGTTAAGCTTAAAGCAACCTACTTCTCGCCGTTGCGGGAATTTTCCGGTTTTTGGCGCTTCCAGAAGTCCTTGCACGACCTGCTCCAAAAGGCTGACGGGTACCACAAGGCCCGGGCCTGCAGGAGACCAGCAAAGCGTGGGGGTGGGGGTGGGGTGGGGTGGGGTGGGGCGAATCGAACATCCAAGTAGCAACCCACCGAAGTGGACTTACAACTATGGTCATGGCTACCAACCACCAGGCCACAGCCAGGCGCAATGCGGGTCTGTTTTCAGCAGGGTCCCTGATATGTACCCGGACTTTTATAAGAGTTGGGTAGACGGAGTCAGGGGTGTCACTCGAGTTGTTGTATGGCCCCGTGTTTGTCCTGTTTAGGAGTCAACGCTAAAGTGGGTTGTGTCACCTGGGGTAGCTAAGCACAACGAGCAAGCTGGGCCTGGGCTGCAACGAACGCCTGCCGCAAAAAAACGGAGTGGTTGGTGGTCTGGATTAGCGGGATTTGAAGCCCTGGCTTAGAGATGGGAAACTGCGCCTGGACCAAACCAATCCAAACCACCAAGTAGAGGCCTTTGGTCCAGAGAGCTCCGGCGGGTTTTCTTTACGAGCAGTCTGGAGAAGTGGTTCCCACAGTGGAAGTTGCCTTCTTACCGTTGCTGTGCCGTGGCTTTGCCTTCTGTTGGATTTGCTGAGTCATTTTATTTGAACTGCATTCCAAAAGAAAAGAAGAAAGGGGAGAAGTTGAGTCAGTTTTCGTTTGGTGTTAAAAGAAAACAATCCCCTGTTGGTTTTCAAGTTGGAATCTATCGCCACCAGACATATTTGCCCACTTTCTTTCAGGGGAGGTATTTTTCGCAACTAGGGCGTGATATGATTCGGTCCCTCGAGGGCATCCAACGCCTTGATTTTTGCGCAAGCTGCTCGACACAAGCAGGGTACTGCCTGGAAGTACTGCATGCCAGACTACCAGCCCAGGCCCCAGAATCGCTGGTGCTAGGGCAGGGGTCCGGCTTCCGACTTCCCCAAAAAGTTGATCAATTGACTTGGTGGTTCAACCGGGCCTCCGGTTCCAGACAGGTTTTTCGATCTTTTGGCTGGTGTGGTAGTTTTTTCATTAAGACCCCTGAAAGTTTAAAACAACTTTTAGGTGGTGCTTGGATCGCCAATTGCTGCATTTTCCATCCACTTTACCCCAACACCAGCAACAGTGACTGAAAAAAGCAGCAACTTGGCTATCCAGGTTTCCATTGAGGCGAGAAAGCCACTGTTGGAGGTTCAAAGGACAATGGAGGGACGCCTGAAGGGAGGCTGTTCCGAAGCTGGGGTTCTGCCAAGTTGCCAGTTTTAGGGAACCAGGGAGCCACCGGGAGTTCTATGAGGGCATGGTAGTACTGCCCTGTTCTATGTCAAATTCTTTTGGCAAAGATCTGCCAGCGTTAACTCAAGTTCTGGAATTCACTTGTCCGAATCGCACTTGTGGGGAGCGTCCAGGGGGAGTTTCCCTTAGGGACCATTGTCGCAAGCATCTTGTTTTGCACTTTGTTCATTTCTTCCAAAGAGGCGGCACTGTTTAGCTGCACCTGCCACCTTTGGCTTCGTGTCAATGCTTCCAATTGCTGAAGCAAAATACCTAGATAGGCAAGTTGCTGGAGTTTTCAGTCACTGTTGCTGGTTCTTGGGGTAAAACACATGGAAAAAAACAGCAACTGGCGATCCATGAAGGTTTTTAGTTTCCCGCTGTTGGCTTTAAAGTGAAGAGCGCCCGCAAATGGAAGACCCTGGCTCGCCTGCGATCGCTTTTTTCCATCCACTTTACCCCAAACACCGATCGCAACAGTGACTGAACAAAACGATCGCAACTTGGCTATCTAGGACCCTTCTTGTTTCTTTTGGGGGGGTGGGGGGGGGGGGGTTTGATGACCCAAAGGACAGGAACCCATTTTGGGGGGTCGCCTTTCTTTTTTAAGACCGACACTTGCAGCCGACACAAAGCAGCAACTTGTCTGATGTCCCGGGCCCAACGCTTCGAAGCCCGAGGCCGGTGGTGCGCATGCCCTGCAACGACCGCGTCAGCGAAACGCCCCTCCTGAAGCCGGGGGCCCCAAAAGCCGTGACTTTCTTTTGGGGGGTGGGGAACGACGTGGGGGGAAGAACGCGACTTTTCCTGGAGATGGAGTTTCCTTTGCCCAGGGAATGGGCTTTTACTTGTCGCAATGGTGGTAATCCTGGCTTGTACTTCAACAAAGTGATTGTTTTGAGTGGCCCAGATGGCTTGCGGTGTTCCTCTTGGCTTCCTGTTAAACACCACAAAAGAAAGGGTCTCCCAAGAAAAACATACCCATACTTAGGGCTTTCGCTGCTTTGGAGCGATCCGCCTTTCACCATTTGGTTCTCCGCTATCCAAAGCATCAGATTTTGGCTGGATCCCATTGAAGGGGTGAAAAGGACCTCCACTGGTTTTGGTTTTCAGCCATTTCAAGGGCCTTTTTGAGGAGATTAATGCTTCGGGTTTTGGACCTCATGCTCGGCCTTTTCTTCCCACGTACTTTGTGCAGGACGTTTCCCCAGTTTTTCAGGCCTCCTTTTCGTGTCCCATTTAAAAGGCGGCGACCAGCACGATCCCTTCTCAATGCTCCCTTCAAACCTCCTCGCGTGAGTTTTCCCTTTTTGCTCCCCCCCAATTCCAGATGGCCATGGGTCAAAAGCCAAATCGTACCCCCAGTGAACATCCCAATCCCCCCTAAAATTGACTACAATGAGTGGTGCACCGAAAACCCGGAGCATCATGCTCCACGACTTCAGTGAAGCTCACGACGGTGACATGTCTCAGACAGATGGAACCTGCCCCGCAGCGAGAAAGGCAACCATAAGGGGCAGAATAGGTAATGATATGTGTGTACTCACACATTGTGACCTAGGGAGTAAAATCTGTTTTTGGGAACCCCGCAGCATGCCCTTAGTGAGTTAAATCCGGCCTTGATTATAAGAACCCCACAAACCCTCCTGTCCACTAAGATTTGATTGAGTGATCAAGCCAGGTTCCATGTTAATCTTGCTGGTGCGACAGGTTGGGATAAGTAGGGAATGACCGAGTCCGGGTGTTGGGAATGAACCGGAATTTGGGATTCCCTGAAAGGAAGGCCAAACCGGATGGATGGTATTCCTCGAAATTATTTGAGCAACAATCAAAACCCGGGTAGATGAAGGTTAGTAAGGGCCAGTCCCAGCCATAAATAGCTGCGGATATCCGCCTTCTTAATTCTTGAAGCATGGTTCTGGGTCGACCATTTTGACACCGGGTTTGGATTGTGACTCATGTTTTTCCTCCTGGACAATTTCTGGAACTCCCACAAGATACATATGGCTGTGGCTCAAAAAGATGTATATACCATAAAAGGATTTTGGTAGATGGAACCAAAGACTAAACAAATGCGTAACCCTAGCTCTATAATTTTGAGCCCCACCCGTATGAAAGTGTCATTCATTTGCCCTCAATTTTGACCCGCAAACGAATCAACGAAGGTGGGGGGTCATTTCCTCATTTCCTGCCTATCGAACCAGCCACGAGCGCTGCCGAGGCTTGAGCAGCGGCCGCTGAGGCCTTGCAAGATCTACCAGCTCCGGCCTCAACCGACCCCTTGGGGCGCGTGTTGCTTCAGCCAGAAGTGCTTAATGTAGCGCCACCAGCTTTCCCAGCAACCCTACCTACTGACTGAGCTGTATTAGAGTCTTCAGCTAGAGCATCAACCGTGGAAACCAACGACCTGGGCCCAACAGAAACTGCCCATAAAAAAAAATCGGATTCCACCCTATAGTTTTGGGGCAATTTTGAGGGTCCAGGTACAGGAAGTTCTACCGGAGCTTGATTCCCAAACGCCCACCCGAAACAAGGATTTGTATGGAAGTAAGGACATCCACCATTTCAGGGGCCAAATCCGCCATACCCACGTGAGGGGTGGTCAGAGTTTCTTGATTTGTCTATGGCCCTCTCTCTCTCTCTCTCTCTCTCTCTCTCTCTCTGTCTCTCTCTCTCTTTGTCTCTCTGTCTGTTTCTCTGTTTCTCTATCTCTTTGTCTCTCTGCTTCTCTATCTCTTTTGTCTCTCTGTCTCCCTGTCTGTTTCTCTGTCTTTCTGTCTCTTTGTATCTCTGTCTCTCTGTCTCTCTGTCTCTCTCTCTCTCTCTCTCTCTCTCTCTCTCTCTCTCTCTCTCTCTCTCTTTGTGTCAATTTCTCTAATTCACCCATGTCCATAGAGGCTATGTTAAATTACCCTCCAAAGTACACGAAGAACCACAGGGACCGGGCTTTAATTCCCCCCCCCCCCTTCTGTGGCCGGGGGCAGAAAAAGAAGCGATTTTGCCCTTCAAACGGTGCCCTTGCTAATTTCTGCTAGGGGTCAGCGCTTTGAAAGAGCAACTGTCAATAGCCACCATCAAGTGTGCCATGGTCAAGAGAAAGAAAGCGACGCCCATACGAATCTCATAGTTGCAACCCCCGTTTCTTTGGTGGTTGCGTGGATCATTTGAGATGTCCCAAAGGTTTTCCAAACGAGCGCCCGACACCCGTCTTCGGCCTTGTCTTGTAGATGGTTCAACTGCGGGCACTCCTTTGACTTAGGCTTGTTAAGGAAAGGCTATTTTCCTGCACACGGGGCCCTCTGGTTGGGTGCCATGTTAGTGGAGAGGATGGGAATCATCAACCCCCAATTGATTTTAGACCCCTGAGGTTCCCATGCGCCCCGCGGATGCTAGAACACACTTGCAGTTCTTGAACTGGCAGTGTTAACACAAGTGATTCCCCCCACCCTATCCCGAACCCAGTGACACCACAAAAATCGCCGAGTTCACCCGCAAAGACGTCCCTGTGACCTTCCCCCTTCCATGGGCATTCCGAGGATCCGGAAAGTTGAGGGCGCCTATCCGGACGGGAGTCTTTCGCGAGATCGCGAGATGTGGAGAGCTGTCAGAAAGCCACCCGCCCCTCCAAAAGGAGAAGCGTCCAGAGATGTTGAGTGCTTTTAGTGGGTTTTAGTGGTTGGGTTTCCGAATTTGACCCACAAGTTAAATTTTTCAGCAACAAATCATTTCTCACCTTCCCAGGATTGCTTTAGTCTTCCCCAGGATTGCTGGTTGAACTGGCTGACTTTGACCCAGACAGGCGGGTTGCTTGCTTTTTCGGTTTTTCAACTTTTTTCTGCACAAGGTTCCCCTTTTGCCAACCAAAAACGAGGGTGCCACGCCCCTTTTGCTCACACGGCCGGACTGGGTTGAAGGGATGCCAGGAAGTTGTCCAAGTTTTGAGATTCACCCAGGTGGGTTCGTCTCAAAATAGGAATTCCCCCCCAAAATATATATAAAATAATAATAGCCAAGCCCAGCATGGGATTCGGTTTCCCTTTGGGTTTTCTTCTTCAGACAGCACCCCAAAAAGGCTGTGGCATGGTGTGCATTTCTGTCATTTTGGCATAGATATGAGCTGCACGAAACAGGAGTCAACCCTGTTGTATAAACCCCTGCTTGATTTTGATCGGGGGGTGCGCCTTTGGGGGGATTTCAGCTCACGTTTGCAGGGGAGGCCCCCTCACCCAATGGGATAGACTGGCGTCCGGAAGGGGGTGCTCTGAGCCGACCCCCGACGGGTAGGAAAAGAGTTCGGAAGCCCGGAAAACCCTCCACAAGAACGGATCCTTAAGCGAATCCAAGCGCCCAATTAAGGGCATGAATGACAGGAACCCTCCGCAAAACGAACAAACCTATTTGGCGGACGTGCTTTTGTTTCCATTGGCCGGCATTGCTCCAGCATCGCGTACCTGCCTACGTTGATGCCTTTGCACTCTCGCAGGGAGCTTGTAAAAGAAGCAATTTGCCTTTGACGTAGCTTGCCTTTACCCTCGTTACTGGCCGTGGGCAGCCGGTCAGCACCTGCAGCCATCGACCCCTGGATGGAGACGCACGAAGCGCCGCTTTTGTGGCGCAGAAGGCGGTCCAGTTCTTGGCCCATGGCCGACATCGTCAGCCTGTTGGTCGCATAAAACTCGCTTCAAAGGGATGCGGGTCTGCGGGAGAAAGGTACAGAGAGGCCAGCGCAACATATGCTGTCTTGGCAGGAATTGTTCGGCTTCCTTTAGCTTCCCTTCCCGATATGGCAATTAAAGGTAGTTTTTCAGTCAAAACTAAATGAATACATGTTTTTTTGGTAATTTGATAGTTTTTACCTATCAATGTATCAGTCATTACAATAAGGCATTCTTTTCATCTAAAGTTTTATGTTGAATTATTGAAGTCTGTCAACTCATTCTAAGTATCAAATCTTTTTTAACACTAGATTTAACATATAAAGTATACTCACCCCCGTTCTCTCATTTCAGTTCTCACGTTTCGCGGGAGGTTGGAGTATCCAGTTGTTCACTCCACGCACAAATCCAGGCATAGGTGTCCTTTTTGGTTGTTTTGCTCGAAAAATAGATGGCGATCTGCTTTACCTGGTGGTGCAAATCATCTACGAGTAAAAGGACACCTATCATAGCCTATCAATCCAGGACATTCAGCCCTTCCACGAAGAGCTTTCCTGCCGGAGCCTCAGCACCTTGTGGCAAGGATGCGCTAATTTGGTCCAAACCTCCGATTCGGCTGCCTGTGTGTCTTGCAACCTTTTGGGTGGAAGGTTTTCAAGAACGTCGGCTGCCAGGAAAAGGTGCGTTAACTGGAGGGGGGTTCCCTTCAAGAAAGTCGCCTGCCAGGAAAAGGTGCGTTTGTTTGTTTGGTCAGTGGCAATCTACCGTTTTTTTGGCCGGCTTCCGCCCTGATTCGGACCCATGAGCACTTGTCCTACTGCAGGAGCTGATTCGCGAGTTCAGCCATCCTGGATCGCCAGTTGCGATCGTTCTTTTCCATGCACTCAAAACCCCAAAAAACCGATCGCAACAGCGACTGAAAAAAGCGATCGCAACTTGGCGATCAAGCGCCGACGAGCTCTTGGGAACTCCCTGGACTTTCCCCATGTGTTGGTTTCGTTCTGAGGAGAGGCATCTCCGAAAGGTCAAATAGCAGCAGTTTTCTCCTGGCTGAAACGCCGCTCTTCCAAGCAAAGAAGCCGGAGTTTTGATTAAGAAGAAGCTGGAGTCTGGATGGCCTGGGACCCCTGGACGGGTTCCTGCCCCGGTTTTCCACCCGAAAGCCCTGGAGTTGTCCGTCTCATGGCTCGGAGAAGCGCCACTTTAGGTGCTCAATGGGCAGAGCTCGCGTCCATTAGGCGATCGGTTTGGGTCATGGCGACACCATGTTTTGGGCGGGGCGGGGCAGGGAAGACCCTCGTACTGTCTCCCATGTAGTGCATGTGTGTATGGTTGGTTTTGACGGGACACCAAGAGGACGCCCGGACGCCATTTTGCAAACCTAGTGTTGAGACAAACCCAACAAGCTTTTCAAAAGGGAGCCTGAAAGGGGGACGGGGTCAAGGCCAGGAATGAATTAGCCCATTCACGGCCAGGTCAACTAGGGGATCAACTCATTTTAGGGATTTTTCGGAAAATGCGAAGTCATAATTTGGGAGTGCCCATGATCAAAACTGGGGTCTCCTTGATAGTTTAAATTATCCGGTTGACTTAATGAGTGTGTCTCCAAATAGGGAACCCTCCCCCAAAATTGGTGGTGTCCCTTGAAACCAATCCAAACAAGGTACCCTCAGCAGAAAGACATGTCCCCGGGATTCAATGGAGGCATTGATTCTTGGGATTCCGATAGGAAGCCAGTTGGATGGTTCGGGTTGATTCCCTCAGTCCCCGAGAAGCGTCTCTCAAAGCAGGAAGCTTCATCAACCACCAGAATCCGGGGTGGAAAGACCTGCACATTTGCCTTCCAGACTCGTTTTTTCTTTTGCACAGAGGAGACCCTGCCTGCTTCTCAAGGCCATGGAAGCCCGGCTCCGATCGGCTTCGGCTTCGGCTTTCAATGGAAGCCGAAGCCCTCGAGCCAGAAGCGTTGGAGGTAGGATCTCAAAATCGCATTGGAGCACTTGGGAAGCTCAGAGCCTCTAGCGGTGAACGGCTTGGAGCCTCCACCTAGGAAATGCAATTCGATCCAGGAATTAATTCCTGAGAGTGACTCAAGAGGCCTGGGTTCCAGCCGGTTCCTTCCTTGGTTTCAGTTGGCTTTCAAAGTGGTTTTACTGGCAGGTTTCCCCGAATTTCTCCCAAAAGTTCGACTTCTAGCAGGGGTTCAGTTTGCACAGCCCAGGAAACTGGTTCTGAATCATATCCTGAAAGTCAGAAGGGTTAAGGGGGCCCTGAGGCAGAAAGCTACACTTTTGTTCGTGTTCTGGAACTTCTCTGGAAAGAAGGGGGCCCTTCTTGAGTTTGCGTTTTTGTGGTTAGCTGCCAGGCGCCAGGTGTCTTCAAGTGGGATGCTTTCCGGAAACGGGGGGCATGCCGTGTCCATTTCGTTTCCTTTACCCAAACTGTGGATGGGCGAAATCCTGCACCACCCAAGAAACCCTAGAATGATGATTCCCCTGTACATACCAACAAGCAATGGTTTTCCACGATCTCAAAGTGGTGCGAAATGGATTTCGTCCATCCACAGAAAGACGCCAGCAGCTGCGCATCTTCTCGGTTTTCTTTGGCTGAGTCCCGCCTCCGGGATTCCCGGAGCCAGGCAGCCGCTGGGCCGTTCGCTCAGAGTTCCACTTGGAGAGTGGGTGAGGGGGAGGGGCGCGGTTCTTCTTCCTTGTTTTTGTTGAGGGCACACTGAATTTAAGGGAAACCAAAGGACCCCCCCCCCCCCGAAAATCTTGTGGGGTACCGTGAAATGTGGTTTCCTTTTCTTCCCGTGCATGTTGACCCCAATTGTCCTTTTTATATTATGGCTTCTTGGGACCCTTTTCCGTCGCGAGGGATTCCACAGAGGTCATTTTTTGACCGGGTGCTTCAGTTGGGATCGGGGATGGTCCCTGGGGTTACTATTGAAACCAATGGATGCGTTCGGGATTGTCATCCAAATTGGGTTTTCTTGGTTGCCATTCATTTAATGGGGGCAAGGAAACCGACGTAGGGTGTTCCCAGATGAGCTTTAGCATATCATCCTGATTTGTCTAAGGCCCATTTGGGGTTTGGGACACTTCCAAAATCTCGGAGCCAGTGGACCGCACGTTATACTTTTCTGTTTACCAGGGCAACCCATTTTGGGCCGATTCCTATTGTTGAGCCACACCCATACTGCGGATGGACGAAATCCTGCACCACTTAGAGACCATGGAAAACCATTGTTCTTGGGTATTTACATGGGAATCATCATTCCCGAGTTGCTTAGGTGGTGCGAAATGGATTTCGCAACCATCCACAGTATGAAGGGGGGGGATGATGATGATGATCCCGGGCTGCCTAAAGGTGTTGCGCATCCCTGCCATGAATGGGACGACGCAACCTCTACCCACACGAGGCGAGCCTGTACCAGGCCCAAGTCATTTGAAGAGTAGCATCACCTGGCCAATTTTGGGCTTCTTGGAGTGGTTGAGCCAGAAATATGATTAGGGACCTGTTTTGCAGGCAATTTTAAGCTGTAACCTAGGTTCATAGTTGGCCGTTTGTCGTAAGTTTGGTTCCTTGGATTTGAGGAGAGATCCACCGTATCAACTGACTCAAGGCCGCCTCTCGCGCTGCGTCGGTTGGCGAGCGGCGCTTCTTCGCCACCGTGTCGGATATATGACGCCACAGGACAAATACCTTGTCGGTATGAGGAGCATGGTAAATCCGCAGATCAAGGAGGAGGACCACGACTTGAAGAAGGTGCTCAATCCCTCTCATTGCAGCATACAGCATACCTTCACAGATTGCAGCCCAAGAGAGAAGTCGCACTGTCGTATAAGGCGGGGTTCGTGAGCAAAGTGCCTAACTCTGGCTATACTCCACCAAAGCTATGGCTCTGAGGTG